GTATTGCTGAAGCCTGGCTTGGAGAATTTTGAGCATTACTTTACTAGCATGTGAGATGAGTACAATTGTGCAGTAGTTTGAGCATTCTTTGGGATTGCCTTTCTTAGGGATTGGATTGAAAACTGACCTTTTCCAGTCCTGTGGCCACTGCTGAGGTTTTCGAATTTGCTGACATACATATTGAGTGCAGCACTTTGACAGCATCATCTTTCAGGATTTGAAATAGCTCAACTGGAAATAGCTCATCATCTCCACTAGCTTTGTTCATAGTGATGCTTCCTAAGGCCCATTTAACTTCACATTCCAGGATATCTGGCTCTAGGTGAGTGATCACACCATTGTGATTTTCTGGGTCATGAAGATCTTTTTTGTACAGTTCTTCTGTGTATTCTTGCCAACACTTCTTAATATCTTCTGCTTCTGTTAGGTCCATACCATTTCTGTCCTTTATTGAGCCCATCTTTGCATGAAATGTTCCCTTGGTATCTCTAATTTTCTTGAAGAGATCTCTAGTCTTTCCCATTCTATTGTTCTCCTCTATTTCTTTGCATTGATGTCTGAGGAAGGCTTTCTTATCTCTCCTTGCTATTCTTTGGAACTCTGCATTCAAATGGGTATATCTTTCCTTTTCTCCTTTGCTTTTCATGTCTCTTCTTTTCACAGATATTTGTAAGGCCTTCTAGCTTCTAGATTAGATCATTCAGAAGTTCCTTTAGTGAAGATATGCTAGTGATAAAATTTCAACTTCTGTTTGTCTGTAAAATGTATACCTTCAGTTCAGTCACTCAGTCGTGTCCAACTCTTTGCTACCCCATGGACCACAGCTTGCCAGGCTTCCCTGTCCATCACCAACTCCCAGAGTTTACCCAACTTACATCCATTGAGTCAGTGATGCCATAACCATCTCATCCTCTGTCGTCCCCTTCTCCTCCTGCCTTCAATCTTTCCCAGCATCAGGGTCTTTTCAAATGAGTCGGCTCTTCCCATCAAGTGGCCAAAATATTGGAGTTTCAGCTTCAACATCAGTCCTTCCAGTAAACACTCAGGACTCATCTCCTTCAGGATGGACTGGTTGGATCTCCTTGCAGTCCAAGGGACTCTCAAGAGTCTTCGCCAACACAACAGTTCAAAAGCTTCAGTTTTTGGGCACTTAGCTTTCTTTATAGTCCAACTCTCACATCCATACATGACTACAGGAAAAACCATAGCCTTGACTAGATGGACCTTTGTTGGCAAAGTAATATCTCTGCTTTTTCAGATGCTGTCTAAGTTGGTCATAACTTTACTTCCAAGGAGTAAGCATCTTTTAATTTCATGGCTGCAGTCACCATCTGCAGTGATTTTGGAGCCCAGAAAAATAAAGTCTCCATATTTACCTTATGTTCGTATTTGAATGATATTTTTGCTGGGTATAGAATTCTAAGTTGACTGTTGTTTTCTTCCAGAAAATTAAAAACAACAATCTTTTAATCTGTCTTACTTCCGTTGAGAAGTAATCTGCTCACAGTCCTTTGAAAGTAATCTCTTTGCCTGTGGCTTCAAATATTCTCTTTGTTTTTCTATCATTTCATTGTGATGTGTATATTAAAGGTTTCATATTACTGTATTTTGTGCTTTATGAAAGTGTGGCTTGGTTTTCATTCTAGAAAATGCCAGATGTCAACTCTCTAGATATGTCCTCTGGCAATCTTTACCTCCTGCCATAGTGGAGAAACTTGTGCCAGACTTAACTTCCCACCAGAAGCACCTATTAAACTAGACAAAATATTTGAAACAGTTGATTCTCTGATCCATGAGAGACAAGAAAACAAGGTGAAACCCAAAATCACTTTGGATTTCTGCCTACAAGCAGTTTGAGAACCATAGTCCTCAAAAGGGAGATTCCAGCCACCTCCCAGTGAGTGATCCCTCTCAGTTGAGAATAGAGATCAGAGTTTGATGCCTGAACTAACTGAAGTTTAGCAGAGAACCAGAAAAGATGAGAGTTACACAGAGAAAGAGATCCAGAAATCTGCATAGTGGTCCTCTTGAATGTGTTTCTAAAATCCAAGTCACAATGCATTAGAGCAAAAATCCTTCAGGCAAACAATGACTGGGGAGCTATAAGCTGGAAAATGTGAAGCACTTACCCAGGGCGGGAAAATATTATGGTTACACCCAACTACTAGCATGGAGAATTCTTGTTGAACACACAGGGCATGCAGTAAAAATTCCAGAATCACTAATCCAGTCCAGGATTAAAGATATCCTAAAGTCACCTTGACAGGACTTAAAACCAAGCCTCAAACTAATCAAACTGTCCTCAAGTAATTTAACTGCCTGCCAGACAAATTAAACACTTTTAATACTAGATAAGCAAAACTAGTATTCAAAACCAAGAAAAATCAGTGTGTAGAAACCCACCCAGAAATGTCAGAGGTGATGTAATCAGTAGACAAGAACTTTGAATCAGCAATTATAAATATCTTTAGTGATGTAAAGTAACACACAAAGATGACTAGGAGAGAAATGAAATTTACAAAAAAGGAACAAAATGGCATCTTGGGAATGAAAATTATAATATCAGAAGTTTTAAAAGTTACTAGATGGGATTAACAGCAAATTATACACTGCAGAAGAAAAGATTGGAGAACTTAAAGACAGAAGGAGGCGAAAAAAAACTATCCAAAAATGGAAGCACAGGGAGAAAAAGAATGAAGACAGGACTTCAGTGACTTGAAGGACAACATCAAGCACTACAAATATGGGTGGAAGTGGGGTAGGAGTAGAGGTATTTTAAGAAATAAAGGCCAAAAGTCTTCCAAATTTGATTGAAAGCCTTTACATCAGTTATCTGCTCTTGCTTAACAGCTTACTCTAAAACTTAATTGCTGAAAGCAACAGACATTTATTTTCTCAGCTTCTGTGGGTCAAGAATACAGGCAGGTCTGCCTCAGAATGCCTCTGATTCAGGATCTCTCATGGATCAAGGTGTTAGCTGAAGCTGTAACTATCTCAAGGCTCCACCAGGGGAGGATTTACTCCCAAGCTCGCTCTCTAGCTGACAGGCTTCAGGTCTTCACTGCTATTGTCAGGACACATTAGTTCCTTGCCTTGTAGTCCTCTTCATAGATCAACTCGGAACATGACAGCCTACCTCCCTCAGAGGGAGGGTGGGGAGAGAAAGAGCAAGAGAGAGAGAGAAGGAGGTAGGGGGAAAACAAAAAGTCCTGGTCTTTTTTAACCTAATCTTAAAAGTGACATCCCATCACTTTAACCTTTTTCCAGTAATTAGAAGCAAGTTGATACAGTGCCTTGAATGTGCGGGTGTGAATACCACAGGGCGGGGAAATTAGGGGCCGCTGTAGAGGCTACCTACCACACCATTACATCACACCATACATAAAAATAGCTTGAAGTGAATCATGATCTAAACATAAAAGGAAAACAGTAAAAACTTCTAGAAGAAAATCTGCAATAAGCAAAAATTTCTTGCATAGGACACAAGAACAGCAAATCATTAAAAAAAAATTGATAAATTGGACTATATCAAATTAATAACTTCTACTCTTCAAAAGCCACCATTAAGAAAATGGAAACAGGACTGTGAAAAGATTTGCAATTAGTATATTCTACTAAGGACTTGGATTCCCATTTTTTTTTTTTTTTAAGTGTTACAACTCAGCAACAACAAATAACAATTTGGCAGCTTACTACAAACTTAAATATGTGCTTACCGTATGAATGTG